AATATATTTCATGTACTTAGCATAAGGATTCATTTTAAGCATATCAGTCAAACGCATACGCAAAAAGATAGGTCTAATCATTTCAGCAAAGCGCTCAAAATCCTCATCATCCTTTTTCTTGGATGGTTTAGGAGGAAAAGGCATGGGTTTCTGAACCCATGGTTCTCTTTCTTTACCGCGCTTCCTAGCAACGAAGTCTCTCTTATCATAATGTTGATTATTTGAATGTGGGTTATCAAGATCAACAGCAGGTTCAATCTCTACATCATTGTTATTGCTAGCTTGAGCATCAACATTAACATTATCACTAGGTTCATGTTCATCACCAGATTGTGTTTCAGTATCAGAAATAGAAATATCATTGGGATTCTTAGGTCTGTCAACAACAGGTTCACTAGAAGCATGCAAAGTCCTATCATCTTTCTTCTTCTTCTTTTTAGAAGAACTAGGTGCATCAACATTATTTATCTGAGAATCTTGCTCAATTCTCTTAGGGTGGCCCTCAGGATACAAAGGTTCCTGAGTCATTTTACCACCTATAGTCATAACTCTAACAGCATTATCATTTCTCTTATCATTTAATTCACTGAGAAAATCATTTTGAGCTTTAAGCACTTGTTCTACTTGAGTGGTAACCATAGAAGCATGTTTACTAATGAGTTTAAGTTCACCCTTAACTCTAGACATATAATCACTCAAGTGTCCAATCATATAAGGATTACTTTTCAATTGTCTACCAACATAAGAGTTGAAGTCTTCCTGTTTAGCCATAAAGTCATCAAACTCATCCAAGCATTGGCTAGCAAACTTAGTAGACGGGATTTCAACTTTATCATTTCTATAGAGAGAATTTACCTTTAGTAGTGTGTCGGGTTATCAAGACCATGTATTTCTTCAATAGGTGGTATATTAAGGCCATGTATTTCTTCAACAGGAGGTAAAGTCTTAACATCTTCAGCTTTAATACCTTTTTCTTTCATAGATTTCTTTGCCTCTTGCATATCTTCAGGACTGAGAAATAGAACACCCCTTTTCTTCGGAGTTGGTTTAGGAGTTGGTTCAGGAAGTATCCAATTGTTTTCATTAGTCAACATATTATTCAATAGCAATTCAGCTTGATCAACTGTTCTTTCCCTGAAAACACAACCAGCAACTATCCAGGTGGTCTCTGGAAGCATCGATTAGTCCATTATAAAAGATATCAAGTATTTCATTTTTCTTGAGAGGATGATCAGGCAAAGCATTAAGTAATTGGAGAAGCCTCCCCCAAGCTTGTGGGAGACTCTCTTCCTCAATTTGCACAAAATTATATATTTCCCTTAAAGCAGCTTGTTTCTTATGAGCGAGGAAATATTTAGCAAAGAAGTAATAAATCATATCCTGGGGACTACGCACACAACCAGGATCAAGAGAATTAAACCATTTTTTAGCATCACCCTTTAGTGAGAACGGAAATAATTTAAAGATATAGTAGTAACGAGTTTTCTCATCATTAGTGAACAGGGTGGCTACATCATTCAATTTAGTAAGATGTGCCACAACAGTTTCAGATTCATAGCCATAAAAAGGATCAGATTCAACCAAAGTAATTATCTCAGGATCGACAGAGAAATCATAATCCTTATCAGTAACACAGATAGGTGAAGTAGCAAAAGCAAGGTCATATTTCATTCTAGCATTCAGAGACTTTTCTTTCAGCTTAGCTAATAATTTCTTAAGATTAGATCTATCATTGCAAGCAAGAAAATCTCTAGCAGTTTCTTCATCCGTAACATAACCCTCGGAAACAACATGTAATTCATATCTAGGAGGAGAATCTTCATCATCACTTTCATCAATATTATCAGTTTCAATAATTTCATTCTCTCTAGCCCTAGCAAGTTGTTCATCAAGAAATTCACCTAATGGCACAGTAGTATCAAGCATAGAAGTAGTTTCATCATAAGCATCATGCATAGCAGAAGTGGCATCATTAATAACATGCGACATATCAGAACTAATAGCAGAAGCAGGTTTATGTGTCGCAAGTTTACTCAAAACAGAAGGTGAATCAAGTGCAGAGCTAGATGACAGTTCCTTACCTCCCCTCGTAGTTGAGGGAAAGATCTTAGTTCTTTCGTCTTTCAAGTTCCTCATAGTGATCAGCAGATATAAATCCCAAGTGACTCAAAGGATAGAGCTATGCTCCCCGACAACGGTGCCAGAAAATAGTCTTGATAACCCACAAGTATAGGGGATCGCAACAGTTTTCGAGGGTAGAGTATTCAACCTAAATTTATTGATTTGACACAAGGGGAGCCAAAGAATATTCTCAAGTATTAGCAGTTGAGTTGTCAATTCAACCACACCTAGATAACTTAATATCTGCAGCAAGATATTTAGTAGCAAAGTAGTATGGAAGTAACGGTAATAGTGGCAAAAGTAACAGTAGCAGTTTTGTAGTAATTGTAACAGTGGCAACGGTACAGTAACTAAGCAAAGAGCAATATGTTAAAAGCTCGTAGGCATTGGATCAGTGATGGATAATTATGTCAGATGTGATTCCTCATGCAATAGTTATAACATAAGGTGACACAGAACTAGCTCCAGTTCATCAATGTAATGTAGCATGTATTCCGAATATAGTCATGCGTGCTTATGGAAAAGAACTTGCATGACATCTTTTGTCCTACCCACCCGTGGCAGCGGGGTCCTATTGGAAACTAAGGGATCTTAAGGCCTCCTTTTAATAGAGTACCGGACCAAAGCATTAACACTTAGTGAATACATGAACTTCTCAAACTACGGTCATCACCGAGAGTGGTCCCGATTGTTGTCACTTCGGGGTTGTCGGATCATAACACATAATAGGTGACTATAGACTTGCAAGATAGGATCAAGAACTCACATATATTCATGAAAACATAATAGGTCCAGATCTGAAATCATGGCACTCGGGCCCTAGTGACAAGCATTAAGCATAGCAAAGTCATAGCAACATCAATATCAGAACATAATGGATACTAGGGATCAAACCCTAACAAAACTAACTCAATTACATGGTAAATTTCATCCAACCCATCACCGTTCAGCAAGCCTACGATGGAATTACTCACGCACGGCGGTGAGCATCATGAAATTAGTGATGGAGGAAGGTTGATGATGACGACGACGACGGATTCCCCTCTCCGGAGCCCCGAACGGACTCCAGATCAGCCCTCCCGAGAGGGTTTAGGGCTTGGTGGCGGCTCCGTATCGTAAAACATGATGAATCCTTCTCTCTGATTTTTTTTCTTCCCGAACGTGAATATATGGAGTTGAAATTGAGGTCGGTGGAGCTCCAGGGGGCCCACGAGGCAGGGGGCGCGCCCCCACCCTCGTGGACAGGTTGTGGGCCCCCTGACCTTAATTCTTTTGCCAATATTTTTTATTAATTCCAAAAAGTTGCTCCGTGGATTTCTAGGTCATTCTGAGAACTTTTATTTCTGCACAAAAATAACACCATGGCAGTTTTGCTGAAAACAGCGTCAGTCCGGGTTAGTTCCATTCAAATCATGCAAGTTAGAGTCCAAAACAAGGGCAAAAGTGTTTGGAAAAGTAGATACAATGAAGACGTATTAGTTAACCATCAATAAATAGACAATATGGTTTCATTTGGTGCAAGTTCAACCTAGCACACGACAAGGATGCATTCCTTTGGAAGCATCATGCATCAGGAACTATTTCTATCAAATCTCTGCATATGTGCATGATACTAAATGACAATTATAACTTCCATAGAAAAATCATTTGGAAGCTCAGTGTTCCACTTAAGATGATGATATTTATATGCTACCTGTGTAAAGGGGTAATTTTGATAAGGAAATATCTAGCCGAGACGAATTCAACGTTTGCCTTTTCATGCCCATCCGCGCCTAGCTTTCGTGCTGAGTTAATGTTTGCGGCTTTCAATATTTCCCGCGTAGCTCAATCTCAAATATGTTTGCAAGATGGCTCTATGGGATTTTTGTTCAAATTGAGGCTTAGATTTTTCTTTTCTTTTTTTGGGGGGTGGGGAGGGGGGGGTTGATTCATATCAGGCAATACATAACTGCTACAATACCATCATTCTTAACCAAGCAACTGTTCTATCAAGTTCTTGAAGCTCATATTGGTTTCTTGGTATAGCCATTTGAAGGTCGTAGCTCGAACTTTGTTCGACCAAATTGGGTGATTTTCTGACAATACAATTTAGGATGCATGAGTTGTAGTAGAATGTAATCCATTCTGCTTTTGGTTGGCCCCGATAATACACGATGTTATTCTTTTTCCGCTGTGGAGATCGCCGTTTTGGCACATGGGAGTGCACGCTCCTGATTTTTAAAATGTGTTTCAAACGTATTTTGAAATGTCAAAAAATTCCAAACAATAACTTGACGCGTGCATCTCAATATTGTACATGCTCACAAAGTCGTTTCGCGAAAAACCGACAACTTATGTATCGCGTGCGAAAAAGACAAAATTCGGTGTTAAAAAATGCTTTTCGCAAGACATCCTTTTGTCTTTTTTACACAAGCCATAAAAAAGTTGGTTTTCTCCAAAACTTGATGTGCACACATATGATGTCAAGATGTATACGCCAATTTTTTGTTTAATTTTTTTACACTTTGAATTTTTTTTTCCGCGTGCAGGAGCACGTGCTTCCGGGAGCACCAATGGATTTCCACTTGTGCATGATTAAAAGTTCACAAGAAAGATGATTGTGTGCCTCAATCAATGCAGAGACCAGGGGATCTCCATCCATTTTTGTGGCAAACCTATGGAACTATACTCCACCTCCACCAATCATGGTTCAGAAATTAGTCCATGTTGCTTTAGTCGACGGGACAGAATGTGATTATGGATGGTGGAGTGTCCTTTCATTCAGTCATTTGCCTGAAGAACATCATCGCCATTTCTGAATTCTGATTCTGATTTCTATCTCATCGTTCGACACCATCTCTGCCCGTAGAGCGCTCCATCTTCGCTTTACACAGACCACGTCAGGACGTGCCGATGGTGTCGACGTTGTCGAGCCAGCTGACCACCTCCTGGATGGCCGGCCGGCTGAGCGGGATGGCGTCGACGCAGAGGCAGGCGAGGTCGAGCACGTACAGCATCTGCGCCTCGTCGCCCGGCCGGCTCCCCTGCCTCAGCCGCGGGTCCAGCGCCTCCGCGTGCCTCCCCGCCGACCGCATCTGCGTCACCCACCCGACGAGGTCCCTCGGCTGCCCCGCCGCCGCCATCATCTCCACGGGCCGCCTCCCGGTGAGCAGCTCCAGCAGCACCACGCCGAAGCTGTACACGTCGCCCCGCAGCGTCGCCACCCACCCCTGCCCGTACTCCGGCGGGATGTACCCCAGCGTGCCCACCAGCTCCGTCGTCACGTGCGTCCGGTCCGGCAGGATCAGCCGCGCCAGCCCGAAGTCCGCCACCCGCGCCTCGCCGGACTCGTCCAGCAGGATGTTGCTCGACTTGATGTCCCGGTGCACGATCTGCGGCGTGCACACCTCGTGGATGTGCAGCACCCCGCGCCCCGCGCCCCGCGCGATCCGAAGCCGCGCGCGCCAGTCCAGCTCCTCCTGCTCCGGCCGCCGGTCGTGCAGCCAGTCGTGGAGGCTGCCGTTCGCCATGTACGGGTACAGCAGCAGCCGGAGCCGGCCGCGGATGCAGAAGCCCTGGAGGGGGACCAGGTTCTCGTGCCGCGTCACCGACAGCGCCTCCACCTCCGCCCGGAACTCCCGCTCCACCAGGCACATGTCGCCGTTGAGCTTCTTCACGGCCAGCCTCACGCCGCCCTCCAGCTCCGCCAGGAAAACCAGGCCGTAGCCCCCCGTTCCGATGATCTGAGCCGGGCTGAAGTTGTTGGTCGCCTTCAGGATGTCCACGAACGTGACGCTCTTCCTCGCTGGGTCGCCGCCGCCGAGCTCCTCGGACATGAACAAGATCGTGTCCTTGGACTCGTCGCCGTGCAGATCCGACATGGAGTAGTCGAACAGGGCCGACTCCGCGCACTTCCCGCCGTCGCTGACGGATCCGTTCGTTATGAACCTTCTGATGGCGATCACGGCGAGTCCGACCAAGACGACGACGGCAACCACACCGAAGCAGACTCCAAGAACGATGGCCACGAGCACACTCTTGCCCATGGTCTTGGACGGCGAAGACTTGCCCGTCGCCGTTCCGCTTTTCTTGCCGCAGCGTACCGAGATCGCCTGGCCGCAAAGCTTCGGGTTCCCCGCGAAGTTCGCCGCCGGGAAAGCATTGAACTGCCCGCCCGTCGGGATCGGGCCCTCGAGATCGTTGTGTTCGACGTTGAAGTCGGAGAGGAAGTGGAGCTTGGTGAGCGCCGGCGGGATCGAGCCCGTCAGACGGTTCTGGCGGAGGTCAAGAATCTCAATCTGTGTGACGCCGCTGAGCTCCGGCGGGATGCCGCCGGAGAGGTTATTGTAGCTGAGGTCGAGCACCTGCAGCGTCTTCATCTGACCGACCTCTCGCGGGATCGCGCCGGAGAAGTTGTTATCGCTGAGGTTGAGCGTGGCGGAAACGCCGGACATCTGGTAGTACGCGCGGCCCGTCCTGACCGCCGCCCCGTTGTTGGGCGTCAGGGTGAACACCAGCGGCAGAGGGCCCGGATTGAACTCCGCCATGGCCTTCTCCGACGCCAGCAGCGGCAGCTCCATCAGCGACGGCGGTATCTCCCCGGCGAAGTGGTTGCCCGACAGGTCCACGTAGTAGAGCCTCTTCATGGCGCCGAGCCAGCTCGGGATCGGACCGGTCAGGCGGTTCCCGGCGAGGTTCAGGACGTTGAGGCCCTGCAGCTTGGACAGCCACGACGGTATCTGGCCCGTCAGACCGCACTCCTCCATGACGATCAGCCGGACGCTGCTGACGTGGTCGCCGACCCAGCCGGCGTCCGGCAGGGCCTCGCCGTAGAAGTTGTACGAGACGAGCAGCGCCGCGAGGTCCTTGCATCCCTGGAGGTTCCAGAACATGCCGCTGATGTTAGTAAAATTGTTCACGGTCAACGAGAGGAACTGCAGCTCTCGCATGTTGCCGATCTCCGGCGCCGCCTGCCCGGTGATCTCGTTGTTGGCCACGCGCAGGGCCGTCATCGACGTGCAGGAGTAGATGCTGGGCGGCATGGTGCCGGTGAGGTTGTTGGAGGCCAGGTCCAAGACGGTGAGATTGGTGAGGCGGGAGAAGTCAACGGCCCCGAGGTCCCCGACGAAGTTGTTCGACCGAAGGTCCAGGTACCGGAGGCTGGTCCAGTTGCCGATCACCGGCGGGATGGTGCCGGTGAGGTTGTTCTTCCCGAGCCGGAGCTCCTCCAGCATCGTCAGCTCGCCGATGGACTCCGGCAGGCCGCCGGTGAGCGTATTGTAGGTGAGGTCGAGCTTGACGAGATTGATCAGCCTGGCGATCCGCAGGCGATCGAGCCTCCCCTGTATCCTGTTGGACGGGAACGCCAGCTGCTCCAGCGACGTCACGTCGAAGAGGTCGTCGGGGAGCTCGCCGGTGAGGTTGTTGCGGCCGGCGCTGAGGACCCGCAGCCGCGAGCAGTTCCCGAACCCGGGCGGGACGGGCCCTCCGAACGCGTTGAGGGAGACGTCGAGGACGGCGAGCGCAGGGCAGATGGCGCAGAGCGACGGGATCGCGCCGGCGAAGCTGTTGTTGCTGGCATTGAGCGACACGAGGCTCGGGGTAAACTGCCAGAGCACGGACGGGAACCGCCCGGACAAATGGTTGCTCGACACGTCCAGCACCCGCAGCGGTAGGCGAGCGCGTCCGACGGCGGCCGGCACGTCCGGGAGCGCGCCGGAGAGGCGGTTGTAGCTGACGTCGACGACGGAGGCGTTGGGCAGGGCGAGCAGCTCCGCGGGGAAGGGCCCGGCGAGGCCGTTGCCGGAGAGGTTGAGGTGCGTGAGCGCGGCGAGCCTGGCCACTGCCGGCGAGATCGTCCCGCCGAGGCCGCGGCCGGGGAGGGACACGCTGGTGACCGCGCCACCACCCCCCGCGTCGTCGCAGCCCACGCCCTCCCACGCGCAGCAGTCCGACGAGCCCCGCCACGAGGCGGCGATGTTATCGCCCGCCCGCGGCGAGAGCGCGTCGAGGAAGGTCAGCAGCGCGTCCCTCTCCCCGTCGCCGCACGCGCCGGCGACCGGGCCGGCCAGCAGCAGCAGCGTCAACGACACGACGACCACCGCCAGGGATCCCGCCGAAATGACGAGCGGCTGCTTCTGGCAAGTGATCATAGCGAGGCCTCCGCCGCCGTCAACAACATGGGGAATAACCGAGCCGTGGCGTTTGGCCGTGGCGTGGACTTTTTTCTTAGACGACCGGAGCGGAGCGGGGGGAGGGCGGGATGGGTGGAGAAGCTAGCGTCCCATTGGCCGGCCTGGAGATGGCTCGTCGTCGTGGTAATATACTACGCATAGGTTTATCCGGCGCGAGGTCAACGGCGATGGCCATGTCCATGGCCATGGAGGGCGTAGTGCTTCGCGAGTCATGCTGTCGAGCTGATGCTCCTGGCTCGGGGCAGGTCTGACTTTTGGAAGCGCGGCCGATTGGGCGTCCAAGGGGCGGTTTATGTGCGACTCTGCCCCTCGCTCTCGAGTGCGTAAGACGCCGATCCAAGTTGCGATTTGTTTAGCGAGCTCAGCCAGGTTTTTAAATACCATTGCGGTGAGCTATCATCAAGCTGCTCCATCCATCTGATCAGCAGATGCTTCATGCTTGTACGATAAACATGGCCGTGTTGGTTAGCGATGTGGTCGATGTGATCATGTGATGTGACCCACCCGGCCGCTTACGGTTCTGATCGAGACGGGGGGCTTTTCTGTACGGACGTGTTCGGGCTTCGGCCTACGTCGACGGGAGTTCGTGAGTGGAGTTCGTGAGCGCGGTTCTCTGCGGTTTCGGATGATTGCCGGGGTTTTGACGTCGGCGGCTCGGGTTATCGTTATCGTTATCGTTGGCTCGCTGGCGTTTCGAAGCTGCTCGGGGTGTTCATAGGTGGCTCTCGGGGTGTACACGCTCGCGCGAAAGACAATGCACGTTTTGTTTGTTTAAAAAGGGCATGCGCATTGTGACGGGAGGAAAAAAAATAACACACACCCCTAACCCAGTAGCAAGGACACCTCGAGCCATACACGGATGCCAGTCAGACGTCCAGCCGCCTGGGTAGCCTCGCCCGCGCCGGTCATCGTCGCCTCCGGCGCCCCATAACGTGTCAACCTCCAATACCACCAACCATGGGCCGCCATCTGGTCATCATCGTGAAGACCGCATGCCCATAGAGAGAGCTTGCACCACCCATCCAATGGCGCCCGAGCTCGCCTAAAGGAAGCCAACCGGCCAGGCCGCCACTGGCGAGAGCCACCACCATCACACTAGCACCCCACCGCCCAACAACCCATGTAGAGACAGACACCCGCGCCGCCAGTTGAGCAGAGCAGCCGTTGCTACCACCTACAGCCCGCCACCTCGCCAGCATGCTCCCCCAACACACAGCCTATCGCGCCACCGCCATGCTGTCGCGCCATCACCATGCCACCGTGCCGCAATGCCACCTCGCCCTTTGTCAGTGAGGCACCCCGATCCAGATGTGCCAGCCCATGGCAATGTAAAATAGGTTGGAAGCGTTGAACCCTTTGTCTCGGGCCGCATTGATATATATTGCGCATAAGCCTTGGCGTACAAGCTTTGAAGAGATCGATCTAAAAGATCGTTACAGGAGGCAGAGAAGAAACGCTAGGGGAGAGAGAAGTAGAGATAGAATAGGATTACATGTTTAAACACAAGTCCTATATCTATTCAACTATTCTAACACTCCCCCTCAATCTGAACCTCAAGGAGCTGTGCCGAGGTTAAGATTGTATGTGAATTTTTCCAATCCTCTCATTGTAAGTGGTTTTGTAAACCCATCTGCGGGCTGATCTCCTGTGGGAATGAACTTGATCTCAAGTAGCTTCCGAGCCACTCTTTCTCTGACAAAATGAAAATCAACCTCAATGTGTTTTGTTCGTGCATGAAAAACAGGATTGGCTGAGAGATATGTTGCTCCAATGTTATCACACCACAATCTTGCAGCCCGAGGAGCTTTAATACCAAGTTCATAAAGAAGTGTCTGAATCCACATTACTTCAGCTATAGCATTAGCCAAGGCTTTATATTCAACCTCTGTACTTGACCTTGAAACAGTGGCCTGTTTTCTTGCGCTCCATGACACAAGATTAGATCCCAAGAATACAGCAAAACCACCTGTAGATCTCCTATCATCAGCACATCCCGCCCAGTCTGCATCTGAATAAGCAGTTACAAGAAGAGATGGAGACTTGGTAATGTGAAGTCCAAGGCCTCCTGAGTACTTAAGATACCTTAGAATTCTCTTAACTACAGTCCAATGAGTAGTTCTAGGTGCATGCAAATATTGACATACCTTGTTCACTGAGTAGGAAATATCAGGACGTGTAAGAGTTAAATATTGCAAGGCACCTACAACACTCCTATAGTTTGTTGCATCTGCTGGTGAAAGAGCATCTCCACTTTCTACTGTGAGAGTTTCTGAGGTAGAAATTGGTGTACTAACCGGCTTGCAATTCTCCAAACCCACTCTTCTGAGAATATCAGTGGTGTATTTTTCCTGTGAGAGAAGTATGCCATCTTTAATTTTCTTTACTTCTATTCCAAGGAAATAATGGAGATCACCCAAATCCTTGAGAGCAAACTCCAACTTTAAATCCTTAAGCAAGCAGGTAGTAGCTTCTGCACTTGAGCTAGCAACAATTATATCATCAACATAGACAAGCACAAAGATAGTAATACTGTCTTTCCTGAAGAAGAACAATGATGTACCTGCCTTGGATGGTATGAACCCAAGGTGTTGTAACTGCATGCTTAATCTGGAATACCAAGCCCTTGGTGCTTGTTTCAGACCATATAATGCTTTATCCAACTTACAGACATATTGTGGTGTGTTGTGATCCTCATAACCTGGTGCTTGCCTCATGAACACTTCTTCCTCAAGAACACCATGAAGAAACGCGTTCTGAACATCTAGCTGTCTTAAGCTCCAACCTCTGGACATAGCAATAGACAAGACAAGTCGAATAGTGGAAGATTTAACAACAGGACTAAAGGTATCTTCATAATCAATTCCAAACCTTTGTTTAAATCCTTTGGCAACTAATCTGGCCTTATATCTGTCTATGCTTCCACCAGACTTTCTTTTTATCTTGTACACCCACTTACAATCAATAATATTGTCTCCATGTTTTGGTGGTACCAAGTGCCAACTTTTGTTTTTCATAAGTGCATTATATTCACTATCCATAGCTTCCTTCCAATCCTTATTAGCAAGGACATCATGCAAATGAATTGGTTCACCAGTGGTGGTAAGAAAAGCACGTTTGATTTTGTCATACCTAATTGTACCGTCATTGTACTGTTTTTCCTTCACAATACCTGACCGTGCCCTTGTTTGCCGACGAGGGGGCGTAGAATGCACAGGAACAGCCGCTGTAGATGGTGGTACAGAAGATCCTGGTGAAGCCTCCTCTGCCACAGAAAATCCCGCCGGCTCCCGATCCGATGCAGGGAACGAATCAGCCAGTTCCTGATCCGAGGCGGATCCTGGCGCAGATCTTGGCGACTGGTCAGCCGCTGGTGAGGCCCGTGCAGAGGTGGGACCGGCCACACGCCCGCGGTCGGCCGCTGCTGAGGCCCGCGACGACGTGGCAGTAGGAGACTCGCCCTCTCCCGCACATGCGCTGGCGTGCGAATTGAAGCGAGGGGGCATGGCGTGGGGCGATACAACGAGGCCAGTGGGCTCCACCCTGGCAGCGCGGTCAGCCACAGGCCCGCGCGAGTCTAGGCCCAGGGGCGAATCAGCCTCGGATCGTGTGCCAACAGCAGCAACAGGCTGAGCGCGTGGATCCGCCTGGGATCGCGTGCTGTCAGCTGGATCAGCAGCGTATTCCGTGCCTGTTTCGTCTGCTTCTTCATGCATAAAATGACGATTCAAATTAGCAGAAATATCAGCTGAATGAGAATTTCCTTGGGATTTTTGCACATGATCAACCTTAGTTAATTCGCCCCCGTGATCAGAAGGTGCAGAAAGATCAGGTAGAAGTGCTATTTCAGCACGGAGTAAGGCTCCCGCATTTGGATGTAGTTTGGCAAAAGGAAAAAGAGTCTCATCAAAAACAACATCTCATGAAATATAGATGCGTCCAGTGGATATTTCAAGACATTTGTACCCATTATGGAGGTTGCTATAACCAAGAAAAACACACTGAGTGGATCGAAATTCAAGTTTGTGATGATTGTATGGACGCAAATTGGGGTAGCAAGCACACCCAAAATTTTTGAGATAGTTGTAGTCAGGTTTTTGATGATACAGACGTTCTAATGGAGTGGAATTGCCAATGACTTTGCTGGGAAGCCTATTGATGAGGTAAGTGGCAGTGATGAAAGCTTCATCCCAATATTTGAGAGGCAGAGAGGCATGAGCTAAGAGAGAAAGGCCAACTTCAACTATGTGGCGATGTTTGCGTTCAGCAGAGCCGTTCTGCTGGTGGGCATGAGGGCATGACACATGATGCTCAATCCCTATGCTACGGAAGTAAGAATTGAGTTTCTCATACTCCCCTCCCCAGTCACTTTGGACTGACATAATCTTTCGATCAAATTGTCGTTCAACAAGTTTTTGAAACTCTTGGAAGACTGAAAAAACCTCAGATTTATATTTAAGCAAATAAATCCAGGTGAACTTGCTGTAATCATCAATGAAACTGACATAATATTTTTTCGTCCAAAAGAATCACGGGCATGGCCCCACACATCACTAAAAATAAGCTCCAAAGGAGCATGAGATACACTATAAGACTTAGGATAGGGAAGCTGATGAATCTTGGCACATTGGCAAGCTTCACAAACAGACTCACTAATGGAACTATGTGACAAAGGAAGACTATCTTTATTGACTACTTGTTGCACAATGACCGATGATGGATGTCCTAATCGTTGATGCCATCTTTCCAAAGAGGGTTTGACGGCGGAGTAGACTTGACGACGCCGGCGACTAAGTGCTCCGGGTGTGATGGGTAGAGACCCCCAATGCATCTACCGTGATGGAGAAGTTCCCTCGTTGCCCGATCCTTAATGAAAAAATAACGAGGGTGAGTTTCAAAGAAGACATTATTATCGGTGGCTAAACGAGACATGGATGCAAGATTTTTGTCAGCTTGTGGAA